TGCCCTATAACTATAATTCTAATAATTACACATCTGCTTATAGAAGCCTGTCTTTTAAATTTAGCTATGGTATCACTTTGAACACCTTTACCTAGGAGTTTAGTTTCACTTTGCTACATAAGGACTTCCAGTTTTCCCAGGACCATTTGTTGAAAAGGCTGTCTTTTCTCCAATGTATGTTCTTGGTGCCGTTGTCTAGCATAAGATAACTGTATTTATGTGGGTTTGTCTCTGTTTTGTATTATGTACCATTGATCTACATGTCGATTTTGGTACCAACATCATGCTGTTTTTGTTACTATGGCTTTTTAGTATAGTTTAAGGTCTGGTATGGTGATGCATCCTGTATCACTCTTCTTACTAAGGCTTACTTTGGCTATTCTGGTTCTCTTATTTTTCCAAATAAATTTCATAAATGCTTTTTCTATTTCTATAAGGAATGACATAGGAATTTTAATTGGAATTGTATTGAATCTATATGGTGCTTTGGGGAGTGTGGCCATTTTGACAATATTAATTCCAGGAACATGGAAGATCGTTCCGTCTTTTAAGGTCGTCTTCAATTTCTTTCTTTAGTGTTCTATAGTTTACATTGTAGAGGTTTTTCACCTCTTTTGTTAAATTGATTACCAAGGCTTTATACCATTTTCTTTACCTCAGAAAGTATAAAAGAAAAGATAGCAGCTATGAAATGTGTGACGTTCACAGCACCATCTAACATTCATAAATAACAAAAAGCTACTATTCTCTTAAGCTCTATTTACTAAACCAGAATCAACTCTGGGAAGTCAAACATCAATCCTAAGAAATAATGACTTCTTATTTCACCAATTCTCTTATTATTTCTCTGCATTTCCCCCAATCTGCCCTTCAGGACAGAAGACCCACAAGCATTCAATGTTCAGCTTGTAACCTGCTTTTGCTAAGGAAGAACCTGACACCCAACTCCCAAACACAAACCTCCAAGAGATCTTCTGCAGCCTGTAGTGAGTCCCTAGAAAAGAGTCCAGGACCCGAGAAAGCATGACACTAAAGTATTCAGTGGAGTTTTCTGTATAGGGAACCAGGCTTCTCAGAAACATCAAACTGAAGCAGGATCAAAAAAGACTCATCCACACACAGCAACTGCTTTCTGCTCTCCATAAAGTTAAGAAACTGGTTCCTAAATGAAGAAACCTGGACAGAGACCATGGCAGCAGTGAGAGCACTGAACAGACTCAAGACAAGGAAAAACAAGGCTGGGAAGGTCCAGAAGTGTCAAATTTTAAAGAGCATATCAATGCATCATGGAAACAGACAGAGTGAATCAAATGAAAACTGAACAAAATAGCCAAGTGTGTGGCACACCTATGATACCAGCAACTCAGGAGGCTGAGGAAGGAGGATTGCAAGTTCGAGGCCACCCTCAGCAATTTAGTGAGGCCCTGTCCCAAAATTTTAAAAAGTTAAAAATGGGCTAGAGATGTGACTCAGTGGATGAGTACCCCTGGTTTCAATCCCTGGCACCAAAAAAATAAAATAAATTAAAAAAAAATCATTTCTAATTGGCTTTAATTTGAAAAGGTTCCAAAACTAGAGAAGAGATGGGAAAAATTGAGCTCACTGCCTTCATTCCTATTGATGGCAGTTGGCTCCCAGTGGACGGCAAGGGCAAGAGAACAGGGCACTCCACATATGGCAGTTATCTGTGTGTAGAAATGAGTGCAAAGCTGTTTTCACATTTAATTCAGATTTATTTTAAGTTTTGTACTTAAATTCTATTTATTTATTTATTTTGTGTGTGTGTGTGTGTGTGTGTGGTGTTTGGAGGCAACCCAGGGCCTCTCCCATGCTAGGCAGGCCTCTGCCACCAAGTGCATCCGAGCCCCCTACAGTATTTCTTGTGTAGGTTTTGCTTTCTATCTATTCTCTGAAGAATCTTTCCTACTCCAAGATGACCTTATTTAGAAGTGTCCTGTTAACAGATCCAGGCATGTAAGGATTTTCCAGAGAGCCATCTGCTCAACTATGGTTAGGAACCTGTGCCCTTGGACTGTAGCACCTTCAGGGTAGTCCAGCTCATAATGCAGCCATCTTGCTACATATGCCCATGGGCTCACTTGAGAAGGGCATGTATCCTGCCATGAGGGGTGCTAAAGCCCCTGGGTGCCACCTGGGTCTGGCTTGTCTGCAGCTTTCTCCCCAACATCTTTACCATATTCATTCTCCTGCCATTTGCTCCATCAGTCACTGAAGAGGAGGCCCATAGTTCCACAGAACTGCAGATCTGCTGGCTCTTCCTCTCAGGATCTTGGTTTGAGATTAGATTTGATTCTCCACCCTGAGGTTTAGTCATACTTGGTACCTTTGCTCTCTATTCCTCTGTGACTCCTGCTTTCACTTTTTTATTTTTTGTGGTGATAGAGATGGAACCTATGGCCCCAGCCAAGCTAGATATGTGCTCTGTCACTAAGCCCCAGCCCCGGCCCTGGCCCTGTTCTGGATTTTGCATATGGCTTAGAATTCCAGTTTATCATTTATTTAGCTTAGAGTTTTGCATCTCTGAGCCCCCTTTCTCCTGCTGAAGCATAGTTCTCAGTGAGGGCAGGGGTATTCCAGCCCCCCTCCCACCCAAAGGGACCTGGCAATACCTGGAGACACATATGCCTTTAAGAACTGGGGAGGGAGCAAGACCAGCAGCACCTTCCAGGTGGGGGCCAGGCACACTGCTTGACATCCTACAGTGTACAGGATGGCCTCCACTACACGAATGGCCTTGTCCCCAAAATACAACAATGCTGCAGTCAGGAAATCCTGCCAGAATTTCATTAGACATAATTATTATTACGATGATTTTTTTTTTTTTTGTAATGGGGAGTGGACCTCGGTGCACTCCACCACTGAGCCACATCCAAGGCCCTTAATTAAATCTTATTTTGAGAAACGGTCTCATTAAGTTGTTCAGGCTGGCCTTGAACTTGTTATCCTCCTGACTTGGTCTCCCAAGTCTTTGGGATTTCAGAGATGTGCCAACATATGCTTAAAAGTTAATATTTTTAATGACAGTATACTCAACCTGAATTTTACCATTTCAACCATTTTCCAGTGTACACAATGTGTCAATAACATCACATTGTCACACAACCAAATTTCAGGGCTCTTTTCATCTTTCAAAACTAAAACTCTGTCCTAATTAAAGACTAACTACCCTCCCTGCACCCCTAGCAAGCCACACTATTCTGTCTCTGAGTGTGAAGATGCTAGGGACCTCATGGGTGGAATCACATGGTAATTGCCCTTTTGAGGTCTGCTTTGGTTGGTTAGCTTAATGTCCTTAGCATGTGTCTGCAGCATGTGACTAAGCCTGTCTCTATGGCAAGGCTGAACACACTGTACAAGTGCCACCTCTTCCTCCTCCATTCACCCTTCCACAGTCCCCTGGATTTAGGGAGTCTTTTCTCCAGCTGCCTTCAAGACTGTCTTTCTTTGGTGCCCAGCAGTCGTGACTGTGCTAAATGTGAGTGGCCTGCCCCTGTCCTGTCTGGAGTCTGCAGGCTCTGTGAAGCTGTGCTCTCCATGCTGGGAAACTCAAGCATGGTCCTTCATCTTTCCTTTGGCCTCTTTCTCCTCTTTACTCACCTGGTTTTCACCCACAGACCTTAAAAGCTCTGTTCTGCTTTTTTCCCCTCTGCTCCTTCTCTGTGTGAGCATGACATTTCTATTGCCCAGTCCTCTGGTTCTTGGCTCCTTCCCCCTGCTGTCTCCAGGTGGTTGCTGAGCCAACAAGAAGAGTCTCCATATCCAATTCAGGTGTCCTCTGTGGCCTTCCCACTCAGATATTTTCTTAATACCCCGTGATTTCCACTGTTCTTCTGTAATTCCCCTTCTATTTGTAACATTGTCCACTTTTTCTGAAGGTCCTCTACAATATTACTCAGAGTTGTCTTTTTAAAAAATTACTTTTTAGTTATAGTTGGATACAATACCTTTATTTTATTTATTTATTTTTATGTTGTGCTGAAGATCAAACCCAGGGCCTTGCATGTGCTAGGTGAGCACTCTACTGCTGAGACATAACCCTAACCTCCTCACAATTGTTCTTAACCCCCTCCCTGAATCCCGACCTGGGCCATTTATGGGTTTTACCCACCTATTTTCTCCCTGGCCATGCAGCAGCCTCTTCTCAGGTCAGGGATTATGATGGAAAGGAGAAGGACTTTGCTGTAGCTTTAGTGACACTCAGGTAATAGACACTTTCCAACCTTTGATAGTAGGGCCATGGTACCCTTGGCTGAAGCAAGAATCTGAGTGTCCACAGCAACTGGCTCCCATCTCCTGCTTCAGCAAGCTCTGTGCATCCACGTCTCAGGAACAGTGAATTTTCCAGTTCTTAGTCTCTCTTCCTACTGAATTGCCAATGTCTTGTACACACTGCAGGGCCCAATGAGCCCATGGTCATTGTCTCTATACTCTTGCTCACGCAAGACTTCCACACTCTAGGAGGCCTGAGCCTCCCACCTACAGTGCAGCACACCACTCTCACAATCAGAGAGCAGAGAGTGTGGCAGTCCTCTGCTTCTTCCAGCCAGTTCTTTGGCCTGAGTATTATGGCCAGAAAAAAGAGGATCTTGCTGTGAGCCCTACGAAAAATGCACTCACCACTCTCTACTCCAGCTAAAAGCCAAGGTCTGAAGCCATGAACTAAGATTTACAGTACTTGGGGTTGTTTCCTGGGACACACAGAGGTGCTAAGTGTCTGTCACATAAATGAGTAAACACACATTAAAACAGTTACAAGAGAAAGATTGCCCAACGCAATGGCCAAGCCTGTGATTCCAGTTGATCCAGAGACAGGAGAAACATAAGTTCAAGCCATGCCAGACAACTTAGCAAGACCTGTGTCAAAAATTAAAAATTTAAGAAAGGACTGGGGATGTCATTCAGTGGCAAAGTGCTAAAGGATCATTATTCCAAGATGCGCTTATATAAATGAAGCTTTACAACTTACTCATTTAGCCATTTTTCATGAAACTGAGAGAAGGATATTTTCTTGAGTGCAGCCCAGATGACCTCAGGCTGAATCACAAAGTTGTTTCTTGGAGGAGCCAGCTGCATACAGTAGTGCAGAACAGGATGGATGCCCAGACAGTTGACAACCCTTACAGCCATGCACCTTTGTCACAGGTTGACCAAGTACTCTTGCCATCTGGAAAGGAACCAAGACCTAATGTGAGCTGTGGTTGTGTGAGTCCAACCTGTGGTCTGATGTCTTAGGAAGGAAGGGACATCCACTTTCACCCAACAGAAGGAGCATGTGGCACACCTGGACCAAGTCCCAGACCAGGAGACACAGGGTGGCAAGGGGGACAAGTTCCCTGGCACTGCACTGGAATGGGTCCCAGTGCAACAAGATGTCACAAATCCCAACAGACTACCACTGGAGTCATATCCACCCACATCAGCTGGGGAATTGGGACCCTCAGTTTGCAGCCAAGGAATTCACACAGGGCCTAGGATTTGAACCAGGCAGTCAGGTGATAATAGAACTAAATGCAAAGCAAACATTTAAAAAAAAATGGGATTGAACCCAGGGACACTCTACCACTAAGCTACATACCCAATCTTTTTTATTTTGAGACCTGGCATCCCTAAGTTGCTGAGACTGTCCTTGAACTTATGATCCTCCTGCATCAACTTCCTGAGTTGCTGGGATTATAGGTGTGTGACACCAAGCCCAGCTACAAAGCCACTTTTTAAAAGGAACAACACATGGTGTGTGTCTCATAGGCACAGAAATAGATGCTTCTTCCTTCTCTCACACCCATGTACAGCTGTTTGTAGATTTCCTTACCACTATCTCTCTTTCATATAAGGTGCAGCAACTGCCTGGGTCTTTAGAACTTAGGAAACCCACACATGATAAGAGCTCAGGAAAGGCCACCAGATGTTACCCAAGCTCAAAACAAAAAGAAGAAGAGACCCTGATCCTCTGAGCACAGAAGCTCAGAAGATGTCTTGCCACCACATAAAAGACCAAGGCTGACCCAGCAGGAGCAGTGTGCTTCCAGAACTACCACACAGGTGGGACCTGTGGGTTCTTCAGCTTTCCTAGGCAACACCTGCTGGCAGGCCTGGGCCCCAGTGCTAAGGCATGCTGAGTGGGCATAGTAGGGTCCCCCCAGGAGCACTTCTATTATATACTTTTATATTATTCATTTATTTTTCCAGATGGGGTTCCACTAAGTTGCCTAGGCTGGCCTAAGCACTTGGGTTAAAGCAACCCTCCTGCCTCAGTCTCCCAAGTAGCTGGGATGACAGTGCCGCCATGGTTCCTGGCTCTGTGAAGCTTTCTGTAGTCAGGGTATTAAGGAAAACACAGAATTTAACAACACTAGCAATGACACACATGCCAAGAAAGTGCAAGGACCAAGTGGTGACATGACTGTGGTTTTATTTTTCCACAATATGTGCTCAGCCTTTCTCTGATAAGCACTTATCTCAAAACCAGATAAAAATCATGATAAATGGCTATGAAACCTCTGACTAAAACAAGAAACCAAACCAAACCAACCAAACAAACAAAACCCTAAGATATCTCTCAGATGTGCCCAGGATGTGGTAGAGTTTGCTGTGTAAGACATCTGGGGAGCAGTCACTGGGGAAGTGGATGGAGCACCATGAGAACAGATCACCTTCCAACAAGCAGAGTCTAGCATCTTCCACCAGGAAAAGGAGGACAAGACCCCTTCTCAGTCTGCTTCTCACAGGGCAGCCTTCAGTCAGGGTGTCCCCACTTCTTTCTTCCAAAAATGATCCCATCTCTTTTTTTAAACACTCCCAAGGTGTTTCTTCACCTGAAAAAGGGGTGGGGGGAAGAAGAGGTATGAGCCATGGAGTGCATTCCTTGGGGGCTGAAGAACCCCTGGGTAGGGGATCAAGGTCCTGATGCGCGGGAGCTCAGGGAGGGTCCCACTTCCCTCCCCTCCCTTCCTCCCAGGCAACTGAGATTCTGGGGCAGCAGAGACACATTGATCCTCAGTCCCAAACCCTGCAGTGAGGTGGGTCTGGGAAGCCCCTGGATGCTCATGAAAACTCAATGTCAAACTCAAAGAGAGAGCACCACCTCTGTCTCCAATACACAGTGTGGCTGAAGGGCTATGATGGGCTCTACCCTTTCTTTCAACTCTGCCTAGGCCTGGAAGTCTCAGGGGAACAATCAGAAGGAGGAACATGGGGGTGGGGATTTCCAAGTGGTGGTGCAGGAAAAGAAAGCATGGAAAGGTCTCCCTGCCCCTTTTGCACCTGCCCTACTTAGTCACAGGGTCTCAACTGAGCACAGTGGTGCAGAGGATGGTGCAGATACCCAGCCTCTAGTAGGCCAGGGGACTCTTCCCACTCACACCTGAACTGCTGGTGATTGGGGAGGCCTGATACCTTTTCCTCTTCAAGGTCCAGGCTGTGCCTGGTCTGTGCTTTCCCTTTGTAAATCATAGGTACTTGGACAACAGAATAAAACTGCTGGAACTGGGTGAAGAAGTTCTGCAGGTTGATGGGGTTCCAGGTCTGAAGGATGCTGAAGATGCATCCCAGCATGATCTTGGCTGCTATCTTCTTCCCCTTCACCAGCTCCTTCTTCATCTTATTAGTGTAGAGGTTCTGGAATTTCTCCAATGTTCAAGGAGGCTTCATGCAAATTATGTCATCATATTGATGCCAGTCTATGGGTGATAGCAAGAAAAATGTCACACTTAAGATCTCAAAACCCACCAGCCCAAGGCACCACCCCAGAAGACAGAAACACAGGGAGCAGCCAGGCAAAGTGGCATATGTCTACAATGCCAGTGGCTCAGGAGGCTGAGGCAGGAGAATCATAGGTTGGAGATCAACCTTAGCAACTTAAAGACCCCTTCAAAAAAAATAAACAGAAACAGGGGAGTACAGCCAGAGGATGAAAGGAACAAGGAAAACAAGAGGACTCTGGTAAACTGAGGTGATCAGAACTCACTCCATGAGCTACCATGGGCAGGGCACACCCCTGCAGAGAGAAATCCCAGACAAGCCACAATGATGAACCAAGTCTCTGCTTAGCCATGCATTTCAGCAAGCTTGGTAAAAACTTTAAACATGACCACACACAGGCTAAATATTTATACCAAAACTACATCTCTCACTAGAAACTGAGTCCTGTTCTGATAAATGACTTCAGGGTACATACTGGGAACAGCAACACGCACCCCAAAGAGGATGATGTAGATACCCAGCAGACACAGAGCCACTAGCAGGTGCCCAGCACAGGGCAAAGGCTGAATTCAAGTCTGCTCTGAGGGCCAGCTGCAAAAGACACAATTATAGACCTAGAAAACCCAGTGATGTTAACTGTAAAATTTTTTTTTTTTAAAAAAAGTGTTTAGCCAAGCACCATGGTGCATGGCTGAACTCCAGGCAAATTAGGAGGCTGAAGCAGGAGGATCAAAAGTTTGAGGGCAGCCTGGGCACCTTAGCAAAACCTGATTCAAAACTTAAAAATGAATAAAAAAGCTGGGGATCTAGCATTCACAAGGCCTTGTGTTCCATCACCAGCACTGTCAAAAAAATGAAGGAAGGAAGGAAGGAAAGAAGGAAGGAAGGAGGGAGGGAGGGAGGGAGGGGGGAGGGAAGGAAAGAAGAATACATATAAGGTGGACAGAGACAACTAAGCACAATAGTGTATGCATGTAATCCTAGCAACTCCAGAGAATGAAGCAGGAAGACTGCAAGGTTGAGGCCAGTCTCAGCAATTTAGGAGGCCCTAAGTTGAATAGGGAGATCCTGTCTTAAAATAAAAAAAAAATAAAAGGGGCTGGGGACATGACTCAGTGGTAAAGCAACCCTGGGTTCAATCCCTGGTACCAAAAACAGCCCTTATATGTAGAAAGACACACACACGTAGCAGTGAAATAAGACAGGTGTTGAGCTGGACTCCTGAGGCTCAAAGCAGGCATTGTGTACACTACTGTCACATTGGTTGGTCCTGCCACTCTAGTTCTACCCTATCCCTGCCAGTTGACAGTTGACCAGGGTTCATATGCTGATTTGGGCATAGTCTCCTCTGGAGCTTCTCCTGACCCTACTCCAGCCCCTCCCTTTGTGGCACTTGTCAGAGCAGAAGCTCCATCATTGCTTATGGAAATATCTGATAAAGTTCAGTTTTGCTTCAAAGCTGAAGTCCTCGGAGTTCACTATTGTTATTAGAAATTACGTGTACAGCCAGGTATC